CCAGTCTGGGCGACAGAGTGAGACTCCAACTCAAAAAAAAAAAAAAAAGGAAGAAACAGGCCATAAGCATAGGGCGTAGGGTGGGCAGGAGAGAGGCAGGGCCCGGTGAAGGCCTCAACCAAAGGATTTGCTGGGAGCCTCCAACCCTGGTGAGGCAAGAGGTAGGTGATTCTGGCAGGATTAGCCACTTTCCCTGCCTCAGCGGTGTCCCTGAGGTCCGGGAGGTCACAGGAACCCTCTGCTGCCCAGTCACCATCTGTGCAGTCGTGAGGGGTCAGCAGGCCTAGTTCAGCAGAGCCCTCCCCAGACAGACTTCTCTCCCAGCCCTGCCCCTTTGCCGACCCTTCCGCTCACTTTCTGGTTGGACCTCTTCTCTTTTGGTGTCATCCATGAGCCTGGCCCGGGGCCCCTGGCTGTGGTCTTGGTAGTGCATTCTTTGGCTCTTCCCCAACTCTGCTGTCCTCTTTGTCCCCCTCTGACTTCCACCCTCCCCTCTCCGCCCCTCCCTGCCCCCTCCCTCCCACCTGGGTCTGCTGGCACAGGGCCGCCTATCTGAAGAGATTGAGAAGCTGCGTCAAGAGGTGGACCAGCTGAAGGGCCGAGGGGGGCCGTTTGTGGATGGCGTCCACTCCAGGTACTGCAGTGCGGGAGGCTGGGCCTGGCAGGATGGGGTCCTGGATGGACCCTGTGGAAGGAGGCTTTCCCTGTCAAAAACCATCCAGGACCTCCAGGCCCTCCTCCTATTCAGGGTGGGACACTGAGGCTTGGAGAACTTGGTCAGTCATCCAGCTCACTTGGGAAGTTTGGAAGGGAGCACCTGTCCTTTGAAGGATGCTGAGAGGGAAGTCATCAGACAGTGCTCTATCCCCACTGCCATGGAACACAGGCCATGCTTCCTGCGTCCTTGACAGGAGACATGCCCTTGAGAGGGTTCTGCAGAGTTCCATGCTTACTCACGTCCACAGGGCCCGCTAGTAGAGAGTGCCACCCATTCCAGTTCTCTTGAGCGTCCAGGACCACCTAAGTTCAGGCGGGGGCAGGAAGACAGCAGGAGAGATTGGAATAAGGTGCTAGAAACTTCCTTACTGGAAGTAGAGATGCCATGATACTTATATGGTTGTGGCATGGGGCTTTCTACCTAATGTTTGAATTAGGCCCATGTTTAGGGAACCTCTGGGTTTTTCTCCACCTTTTGTGAAGCAGTTGGCATTGAACTCGGACTGTAAGCCTGCCCTCAGTTCCTAAGCCAGAGAGGTAAGGTCAAGATAGAGGACACCCAAAGTGGATGATGCCACTCAAGTTTCATGGACCCTGGCTGTCTTCTCTCCAAAACAAAGTCTCTTAGATCAGAACCCTTACAGTTCCCTTTGGTCATGTGCTTGCTGTTTCAGGGAAATGGGAACCAGTCACCATGAAGAAAAGTCGAAGGGAATATGCATATGTGTGCATGAAGCATTGTGCTTGAATTAGGGGAAAGGACATAGAACGTGAGGAAGAAAAGCCTGTGGGTGTCTGGGGTGGTAAAAACTTCAGTGCCACCTTCAAGTTCATCAGGAATTGTATAGGGTATGAAGAGAAGCAGAGAATGGAGACAGGGGACAGTAGCTGTGATTCTTCCTACTCCTCCCTTCCTGTAGGTTGACTAGGAGGGACAGTCCCTCAACTAGTAAGACATGGCTCACTGTACACTAGGCCATCTGCCACTGCTTGCTTTCGTTAAGATGGGCGTTCTTGGCTTTGACTATAGAATCACTGGGCCCAGTGATCATGGAATTGGCACTGAGCTGCAGGGGAGGAGAGGGGGATGGGCAGGAGCTTCCCAGCGACCTCGTGTAGTCTCTTGTAGGCTCACCCTGTCCCTTTGCTCTGGGCTCCCTCCAGGTTTCCAAGCTGGGAAGGTACAGGGAAAAAGTATCACTAGGGGAGACTTCTAGATACTTTAGAGGATTGTTACTGGGGTCCTGAAATCTCAGACTTGGAGTAGACTCCCTGGGCAAATGAAGTGGTTTCTCCGACCTGTGTCTCTGATACAGTGTCAGGGTCTTCCAAAGCTTCCTGGAGTATGGACAGTATGTCTGGGTGGAATTTTGGCCAGGGACTCAGTCCATATTATGGGGAGACCCAAGAAAAGGGAGAAGATCAAGAAAGAGACGCTTAGGGTTAAAAGAACCTTTAGGCATCTTCCCTTCCAACCTCACTGGTGCCTGGGGCCCTCCTGTTCCATTCTGGTCAGATGGTCAGAGAGCCTCCCCTTGAATCCCTCTTTGACGGGGTGCTCAACTTTTTAAAAAGCCACCAGTTGCATCATAAGCCAACCCTTGCCATTAGGAGATCCTTCTCATGTTCCCTAGAACTTTCTCCCCTGGCTCCTTCTGAATCCTGCACCCCCAGAGAATAAGTCTAACCCCTTGCTCACATGGTTGCCCTTTGGACATTGATGATAGCTCTGTGTTCTGCTAAGACTTCTCTTCTCTGAAGATCCCTGGTTTCTTTGGGCCCAGTGGGTGTGAGCTGGGGCTCTCAGTCCTCAGAGCCTGTCTTTTCTCTCCCTGTCACTGCTCAAGGTCACACAAGGGCAGTGCAGCGGATGTGCGGTTCTCCCTGAGCTCAACCCCCCATGCAGCCCCAGGTCTGCATCGCCGCTATTCCTCCCTGAGAGAAGAGTCTGCCAAGGTGAGGGGGTGGTGGGGTCTCCTCGGGGAGTTTGGGGTCAGCTCGGCCGCGTGCCTGGCTCCAGTTACACAGACGGCTGGCGTGCGGGGCAAATCCTTCCCCTGCCCTCCCCCATGTCAATGACAGCTGCAGCCCTGGGGTTGGGGCCATCGTCAGCTGCAACAGCTGTGCCCCCTGCCTTGCCTCAGCCTCCTGGTGGGCAAGAGGTGGGGGCTGGCGGGTGGCCAGCCAGTCCCTGAGGCCCCACTGAAGTGTGTGTGTGCGTGTGCCTGGGTGTGCAGGCGTATGTTTCTAGTGGTCACGGCGGGGGCTGCAGGGGTAAGATGGGATTGGCAAGCTTTCTGGAACAAAAGCTGTGGTTCGTGGGGGAGATAGGGAGGGATGACAGGTTAACTGGCCCTTGGGATGGCATCTGGAGTTTGCTGAGAAGCAGCTGTGAGTTCATGCTGTCTGAGTCTGCCTAGGAAGATTAGTGGGGAATGAGGAAAGATATGGGGCAGGAAAGGGCTGACTTCCATCTTTTGGGGAAGTCTGATCCCTGCCTGGTCCTGCAGTTGTTAAGCATGTTCTGACCTGAGCCCAAGTTCTCTCAGTTCTCTGGGGAATGAGGAGAGTAGATGGAGAAAGAGGGAACTCCTAGTCCCAGGGGGAGATGCTACTCTACTGTTAAGAAACCCCTGGTCTGATGGGAGAGGCACCGTTTGAAGGTGCCTCTTTTTCTCTCTCCTCTCACTCTTTTACTCTTTCTGTTTATAAGAACACAGCCACTGCCCACAGCTCAGACTAAAGGCTGCAGGAGTTAGAAGAGCCCTAAGAGGGTGCTAGGGGGCTCAAGTGATAAAGGGTGGGTATTAGAGTACCTCTGTCCCTGGTTCCCTTCCTTTCTTCCCTGCTCCTCTGGGTCTCCCAGCCAGTTTTCTGCCCCTTCCTCTTCTGGGCCTTTGTCTACTGAAGAGGTTTCTAGGATGATTTCAGAGAAGTCACTGTTTCTCAGAGTTGACCAGAGCATCCTGTGATGTGCTAAAACTCTGGGAGACAAAGACAGTCGTAGTTGCTTGGCCTTTTCTTGTTCCCAGGATATAGTCACCCTTTGTGAGTCAGTGTGCATAGAAGCAGATAGCCTTTGTGTAGTGCTTACTTTGTTCCAGGCACTGTGCTAAGGGTTTTACATGCGTTTCTTTAATCTTCACACCAGTCTATGAGGTAGGTACTATTACTATCCCCATTTTACAAATGAAAAAAACAGAGGCACGGAAAGGTTAAATGAGTTTCCCATGGTTGCACAAGCTTGCATTTGGTGGAGCCAAGACTCAAACTAAGGCAGTCTCTCTGGAATCTGTTCTTAACCACTCTGCTAGCTACCTTTCTAATTTAGAGCAGTATCTCTTAGACTTTAATGAGATAACCCAGGGATTTTGTTAAAATGCATATTTTAACAAAGCAGTAGGTCTGGTGGTGCTGCCTGGGATTCTGCATTTCCGGCAAGTTCCCAGGAGATGCCAGTGCTATAGGGTGGAGGTGGAGATGGGGAGAGTCCTGCTCTGCTGTGGTCTGGAGTATCTGATTCCTGTGCCTTTTCCCTCCTTCTCTAAGGACTGGGAGCCATCTCCACTGCCTGGGGTGCTGGCCCCCGCGGCCACCCCTGCCTTTGATAGTGACCCTGAGATCTCTGACGTGGATGAGGATGAGCCAGGGCGTCTGGTGGGCTCCGTGGACCTTGTCTCCCCCAGCGGCCACTCAGATGCCCAGACCCTGGCCATGATGCTGCAGGAGCAGCTGGATGCCATCAATGAGGAGATCAGGTGCCTGGGGGACAGGGGCCACTTTGTGTGGTGGCACTGCAGGAACAAGCCTACATGTACGTTCTTGCCTTCTATGGCTGCACTTTAGAGTGCTACAGTATCGGGACCCTCTGTGGACCATCAGGCAGAAGGCTGGCCCAGTGCCAGAATGAGAAGGACAGGGCCTCATATGGACTTCCCAGGCTTCGTCTCCCCTCTGAGGGCTGGTGATGTAGCTGGGCTCAGGAGGAAGGAGGCAGTGCTACTGCAGCTCCTGCAGCTGACCATAACCACTGAGATTACTTCCCACCTACTGAGGCTGGCTCAGCATGAGAGCTTCAGAGATGTAACAGTCAGCTTTGCCACAGTCCCTGAGGTAGGTAGTGTGGTTCCTGTTTTAGAGACAAAGGAACAGGAACTCAGCGAGGTTAAGTGATTTGCCCAAAGCCACACAGTATGTGGCAGAACCAGGATTCAAACTTGAGTCTAAACTCTATGTACTGTGCCATGCCTCCTGCCCCTAATAAGGCACCAAACAGATAGTGGGAGGAAAGCTGTGAAAACCTTCACTGTATGCTGTCTTTTTTTTTTTTTTTTTTGAGTTGGAGTCTCACTCTGTTGCCCAGACTGGAGTGCAGTGGCCGCTCCCGGCCACCGCAGCCTCGACCTGCTGGGCTCCGGCGATCCTTCCGCCTCAGCCTTCCGAGTAGCCGGAATTACAGGCATGCGCCACCACGCCTAGCTGATTTTTTGATTTATTGTAGAGATGAGGTCTCGCTGCCCAGGTGGGTCTTGAACCTGCGGGCTCAGGCAATTCACTCACCTCAGCCTCCCAAAGGCACGGGATTACAGGCTGAGCCACCGAGCCTGGCCTGTATGCTGTCTTTTTAATGAGTTTATTAATGTTAATGACAAACGGCAAGGGAATATCTGAACCAAGTATATCAGAGCTTTACAAAACTGTAGAGATCATCTAGTTTAATGGTTCCCAGACTTTTGGATTTCACAGACCAGTTACAAAGAAGACACACACACACAGAGAGACAGGTACTAACATAGGACCACCAACTTCTTATTTTTATTTTTTAAATTTTATTTATTTATTTATTTATTTATTTATTTTTGAGTTGGAGTCTCACTCTGTCACCCAGACTGGAGTGCAGTGGCCGCTCCCGGCCACCGCAGCCTCGACCTGCTGGGCTCCGGCGATCCTTCCGCCTCAGCCTTCCACGTAGCAGGAACTACAGGCGCGCGCTACCACGCCCGGCTCATTTTTTGATTTATTGTAGAGATGAGGTCTCGCCTGCCCAGGCGGGTCTCGAACCCGCAGGCTCAGGCAATACACTCACCTAAGCCTCCCAAAGGCGCAGGATTACAGGCTGAGCCACCGAGCCCGGCAACCACCAACTTTTTATTTTGCAAAGTAAAACATGGATGATAGCTACCATTTACCATTATGATCATTCTGCAAAAGAAAGGATATTTTAGTATCCTTAAAGTAGGAAAGACATACTCTCAGAACAAAGACAAATCTTTCTTTTTGAAAGGTAGTTGACATCTTTACAGTAGCATGAGTGAGTGTGTGTACACATACTTTTCTCTGAGTGCCTCCCATGCACACACATACACCATTAGCATTATTTTTGTAATTTTTCTGTGGAACAGAGAAAACCCCATTCAGGGTCAGCATCAGTTAAAAGTGTTGCATTTGGGAACCACCCCAGACATTGCATATGTTGGGAAACAGAGGTACAAAGAACAAAATACCGAACTCGGGGTCATCCCTGTAGTTAGTAGCAGGTCAAGAATGACCTGTGGCAGGATGGTTTGTATTCTGCTGATCAAATGGATTCCTTCCCCAGCAGATGTTTATGTTAAACTGAGGAGAGGTAGGCCAGCTAACGAGAGACGTGTTTCTAAGCTCCAGTGGGTTAGAGCCAGGCATGCATGCAGACTTCGCAAGTGCCATATGTCCTAGGGTGGCAAGGGCAGGCATCTCCCTTGTGGGGGCTCACGGTGAAGTCTTGCTTTGTCTTCCTCCCAGGATGATTCAGGAAGAAAAGGAGTCCACGGAGCTCCGTGCTGAGGAGATTGAGACGCGTGTGACCAGCGGCAGCATGGAGGCTCTAAACCTGACACATCTGCGCAAGCGTGCTTCCATCCCCACCTCTCTGACCGCCCTGTCCCTGGCCAGCGCGTCCCCGCCACTCAGCGGCCGCTCCACACCTAAGCTCACCTCCCGCAGTGCTGCTCAGGACCTGGACCGAATGGGGGTCATGACCCTGGTAAGTGGCAGCTGATGAGCAACCCTGTCACCACTGGGGTCTGCACTGGGGGGAGGGGGGACTACGAGAGATGGCCAGGCACACGTGTCCTCAGCTGGGCCTGGCACCTTCTTCCCATAATGTGTTTGGACTCCAACATGTCAGACTACCAACTTGTCCTGGGTTTGAACAGGGCCTGTGGAGTATCATCCTTGCCCTCTCCCTTGAATAAGCCCAGAATGCGCAAGAAACTCCCCCATTGCCCACACCTCTTCCTTTCTTCCAGAAGTAGCCCTGGCTTATTTTCTAGGCTTCTTTTTTTTTTCTGATATGAGATTCTCTCACACCTATGTATGGCACTGAATGCCATCTCCTCATCCTAGGACTATGGGGCTCCCCTTGGGGTTGGCTTTAGGGCATCTGGAGGGTGAGTTCAAGCTCACCATTCGCTCTCTCTTCCAGCCCAGTGACTTAAGAAAGCATAGGAGGAAGCTGCTGGTGAGTGCTGCCCGATGACCCAGGTACTAAGGGATTAATTGCTCCCAGGCCCTTCCCTTTTGGCTTCTCCCCCCATGGCCCTTGAGTCCCGGTCTGCACTCAGAGAGGCACCCAGGGCCTCCCGCATTTCTCTGTGCTCCTCTGCCTCTTCTGGGCTGGGTAGGCAGGCCCCAGGTCTCTCCCTCTATCCCCTGACAGCTCCACTGTCTGTTCAGTCGCCAGTGTCTCGGGAAGAGAACCGAGAGGATAAAGCCACCATAAAATGTGAGACTTCTCCTCCTTCCTCACCCAGGACGCTGCGGCTAGAGAAGCTTGGCCACCCAGCCCTGAGCCAGGAGGAAGGCAAGAGGTCAGTGGAGCAGGCCTCATCCCTAGTCTCTCCATTCCCAGGGTCACTGCATCCCTCTCTCTGCCTCTGTGTCTCACCTACCCCAGGCGCCCAGATGTCTCACTTCTCTTTGAAACATCATAGGGAAGAATTTTTCCATATCTCCCTGGCTCACCTGCTCTGATCATTCCCCCTCACTTCTGCCCTAGTTCAGACACTTAATACGAATCTTTCCTGAGGTCTAACTTCCATCTCTCTTGCTGTAACTTAAGTATGTTTCTTCTTATTCCACCCGCTCCTGGCTGTCACCCTGTAGTGCCTTGGAGGATCAGGGCAGCAACCCCAGCAGCAGCAACAGCAGCCAGGACTCCTTGCACAAGGGCGCCAAGCGCAAGGGCATCAAGTCGTCCATTGGCCGCTTGTTTGGCAAGAAGGAGAAGGGCAGGCTGATCCAGCTGAGTCGGGATGGAGCCACGGGCCATGGTCTCTGTTCCCTTCTAAGAGGTCTAAGGGGCATAAGGGCATCAGAGGCAGGAGGGTGCGTTCAGATCTGGCCTGCTCTGCCTGCCTCCCAGGGACCAGTGGGTGGAAGCCACGGACAGGCCTCAGCTCTGGAGAAGTCATTTTCTATTAGAGCTGTCTCGTGATGGGACAGACTGCCTCGTGGGGTGGTAAGCTCCTGCCACCATGAGTGGCAGGCAGCGGCTGGATGGCTGTTTGTTTGGCATGCTGTGGGAGGGTTTTCTGTGTGGGGCAGAAGATTTGGAGGTTTTCTGATGTATTGTGCTGTGCTCAGGCTCTTCAGGAAAAATTGGGTCTTTCTTTAGAAAGGTCAGTTATTGATTGAAACTTATTTCTAGTATATCTGGTCTCCAGGACTCAAAGTATTATAACACCTAACTATAGCTTGTAGACATTAAATTCTAGAAACTGCTTGGGCAAGAGTAGCATTTTTGTCACCTCTGTGATATACAGTTCTAATACATGCTTGACATGTGATAGGTACACAGTAAATGTTGTCTTCATCCTCCCCGCCCCCTTTTTTTGAGACAAGGTCTCACTCTGTTGCCCAGGCTGGAGTGCAGTGGTGTGATCCCATCTCACTGCAGCCTCGACCTCCTGGACTCAGGTGATCATCCCATCTCAGCGTCCCATGTAGCTAGGATTACAAGCATGCAGCACCACACCTAGCTAATTTTTTGCTTTTTTTGTTGAGACGAGGTTTCACTATGTTGCCCAGGCTGGTCTTGAACTACTGGGCTTAAGTGATCCTCCTGCCTTAGCCTCCCAAAGTGCTGGGATTACAGGTATGAGCCACTGCACCTGGCCCCTCCCCCTCTTTTCTATTTCTTTTTCTTTTCTTCCTTCGCCTTTCTCCCTCCTTTTCCTTCTGTTTTCGATTCAGTCATTTGTTCCACAAATGTTTATTGAGGAACACTGTATGGCTGAGTAACAGGCACTGGAGCAATAGGTCATTCTTTCAAGAAGCTCAGTGTTTGATGAAGAGGAAAAAAAGATGATTTCAGAGCAATCTAATGATAGAGATATGCCCAAGGTGCTCCTGGAACTCAGAACTCAGTCATGGCATGGTGGGGGTGGCAGGGATGGCTTCCCCCTGGTAGCAACACCTGAGCTGAGTCTTGGAGGCCAGATAGGAATGAGCCAAGTCAAGAAGAGGTCCATGTGTGAGGGGAAGGGAGGTGGTCTGAGAAAGGGAAAGATTTGTGGGTATGAGTTTTGTGTATACTTATGTTTTTTCAGAGTGGAGAAGAAAGTAGGTGGGAGGAGTGGGGAGATGGGATTGGACAGCAAGGCTGGGGCCAGCTTGTGGGGCCTTGCTGTTGAAGAGATTCAGAAGTTCCCCCAAGGCAGTGGGAGCACTAGTGAATTTCCTGCAGGGGAGGAGCTTGATCAACTAGAAGACAGGAACCTTTGAACCCAAATGCATAATTATACCTCTCTGTAACTCAGGATGATGTGAATCAGAACATAGCTCAGTGAGTGAGTGAGTGAGGAGGAGGGAAGGGGGAGGAGGAAAGGTGATTGCCTCTGCTCAGGATCTGGGAGTTGGGAGTGGCAGCCTGGGGAATGAGGTAGCGTGCCCTTCTCCCCAATCCACAGGGGAGAGAGGAGCTGTGGAGCCGCCACAGATGGGGAAGCCGAAAGGCCTACCTGGTGGAAGAGGCATTTTGGATGAAGCCTTATGATTTCCTGTTCCCCACACCATGTTAGCATCTAAACCTAAGACAGCATCTCAGACTGGTTTCTGGATACCCATGCCTGCTGCCCACTGTGCACTGTGGCCGTGGCCAGGACTTACCTGAATTCTAAGATACTGCCCCTTGCAGTGGATTCTGTCAGGTCCTGGCATCTGTTTGAGGAAATCCTCAGTAGAAGACAGAGCTGTGCGTGTTCCCTTTGCAGTTTGAAAGTGAGCACACCTAGAGAAAAAGGCTGAAGGTTGGGATGAGCGTGCAGATTGCCTCACCCCATCCCAAGTCAAGATGACCCTTCTCTCTCAGCCTCGGAAACCACTTGTGTCTGGCTCTCTGGTCTTTGTTTTGTTTTGTTTTCTGCACCTTGGCTTGGAGGAAGGACAGGTTCTGCCTAGGATTCTAGGGTGTGATAACTTTGGTCCATCTGAATGGATAGCACCCTGGGGGCTGAGACTCCCAGAAGGGCCTCACTGGGCTGGGGATGACCTACTTGATGCCACTTTGGGATTGCCTGGATGCAGGGACATTGAGCAGTGGCTCCAGAAATAATGAGTGGGTGGTCCCATTGGGCCCTCTTAGGTTGTCCTTTGCTGAAGAGGCTCCTGTTCCTTCTACTCCCTGCCCCTAGCCCAGGTCCAGGGAGGAGAATGGAGGGTCTGGCTGACATACCCATCTTTTCCCTTCTAGTTATGCTAACAGACTCCGAGCTCGGTCTGCAGGAGCTCATGGTGCCTGCCAAGCTGGGGACCCAGGCAGAGAAGGACCGGCGGCTGAAGAAGAAGTAAGGGCCACAGGCCAGGCCCTGCCAGGGTGGGGGCCTAGCCCCACACCCACCTGCCTTCCCAGGGCTGCCTTGGGATGGAACTTAAGGAGTCAGAACCCAGCAAGGCCCCTCCTGAGTTGGCCTGGCCCATGTGGGAACAGCAGGGTTGGAAGGAGGTTGTTAGGGTGACCCTAGGGAGGAGGCAAGGGGCCTTGGAGAGTGACTTGGGACCTGTGGGTCTCTGGCGGGGCAGATTGAAAGGTCCAAGTCAACGTGTCAGGTCATGTACAGAGTGAGAGCTCTCGCCCTCAGGGGTGGAGAGGTGTTCCTGCCCCATTTATTGGTGTTACACTGTTTCAGGCATAAAGCAGAGGAAGTCCAAGGATGGGGAGCAGGGGAAGTGGGAGTTTAAACACTTGGCATGGTCCAGTGGGGCCCAGGAACAAGCATGATTGAGGGAGAAGGAAGGACTAGTGAGTCTGTTCTTCTTCCTTCAAGGCACCAGCTGCTTGAAGATGCTCGCAGAAAAGGAACGCCCTTTGCCCAATGGGATGGCCCTACTGTGGTCTCCTGGTTGGAGGTAAGCCTGAGTAAAGGGAGACCACTCAGGAGTCTGGAGGGAGGGATGTGTGTGGTGGGCAGAGGGGCCGTCTCCCTAGAACTTCCCTGTGTGTTTCTCCGCTGCCAAGTGCACATATGCCATACCCAGCATTTAGCCCCTCCCCCCATCACCTCCACACCAGTTACTTTGGAGGAGAGAATTTATGCTACTTACTGATGCTTCATGGGCAGCTAAGTTTGGATAAGGGGGAACTAATCACTGAAGCTTCAGACTTTCTTATAGGCTGCCCCCAGGAGCTAATCACCCATGCAATGCTGGGAAAATCCCTTTAACTTCCCCGGCCTTAGATTTTTAATCGCAAAATGGGAAAGAGAGGGGCTTGATGATGCTTATTTCCACATTCCTATGCTCTGCATTTAAGTTCACAGACGAGACCTGGCCCTTGCCCCTTGGTATTGCTACACTCTTGGTAGTGGGGCCAGATCTTGGAGAAAGGGACTGAATTACCCCCCTGTGCCTCATGTCTACAGCTCTGGGTGGGGATGCCTGCCTGGTACGTGGCAGCCTGCAGGGCTAACGTCAAGAGTGGTGCCATCATGTCCGCCCTGTCGGACACAGAAATTCAGCGGGAGATCGGTATCAGCAATGCCCTGCATCGGCTCAAGCTCCGGCTAGCCATTCAGGAGATGGTGTCACTGACCAGCCCCTCCGCCCCACCCACCTCCAGGACTGTGAGTGGCCTCTCCCTCACCCAGGACATTGTAAGAAGCCCCAGAATAGGGTTTGCAAGGACTCCTGTTGAGCTTTGGGAAACTGGTAGTGCTGAGCCCTGCCCTTCCTTCCCATCCTCACAGAGGGCTCTTCTTGGTCTTCAGGAGGGCGTGACACAGATTCTAGGAGGACCCAAGCAGACTTGGTTCCCTGCATCCCACACAGCAACTGTGGGCTCCATTTCCCCATCCCTATCCTGTCAGTAATTCTAGGTTTCTGGGATGGTCTGTCTGGGGTATTACATTGGTGCCAGGTTGTGGGGAGCAAAGGGAGTAGGGCATTTGTGGATTTTGCTCTCATCCTCTAACCTCAACGCAAGAATGCAGACTGCTTCATGCACCCTCAGGGTAAATTCTTTCCTTATTGTGGTTGGGGTCTGTCCCCATCCCAGATCAGCACTGTTCACTCATTCATCCAGGAAACACTGAGCACTTTCTGTGTGCCAGGCACTGTGCTAGACTGTGTGGGTATGATGATAAAAGAGATGTGTCTTATGCTGTCAAGTTGCTCAGAGCTCTGGGCTAGGCCTATGGGAGGACTCTGGGGGAGGGAATTTTGTCCTTGTCCTTGGGGCTCCCAGCCTGATGGGATCCTGGGGACCAACTAGGTTTCCTCTCTGCCTGCAGTCTTCTGGGAACGTCTGGGTCACTCATGAAGAGATGGAAACTCTGGCCACATCCACTAAAACAGTGAGTCTGGCCCTAGGCCCTGGATCTAGGGTTAGGACTCATGACTCCCTCAAGATGAGGGGAAGGTTGTGAGAAGTCAGGGGGTTGAAATAGATCTAGTATAAGATTGGTATCCCTGATGTGTGATGGGGCTCTGTTCTCAGGGTGGAGGGTTATGGGGAGAAGTGAGATTGGGTGGTGTGTAGGGGTGTGTGTGTGTGTGTGTGTGTGTGTGTGTGTGGTTTGTTCTAGGGAGTCACAAACTTACTCTAGACCACTGGTGTGCTGCAGTGGAGGAGGGACAGGCAAGAGAGGGCTTTGCCCTGACTATGGGCCTGAGTCACAGAATCACTGCCTTTGCATTTGTCACTCAGTGGAGGAAGAGGAAGGTTGGGAGAGCATGGCATCTTGCCTGTTCCTGTCAAACCTGGGAGGTGTGGAAGTGTGTTTGTCCCCCACACATACTTGCCCCCCTCTCACTGCAAGCATGGGCACATAACAACCTTCTGTCCTCTCTAAACCATCCCAACAAACTTTCCCTAATCACCTACCCAGATACTGGTGTATCTTGTCCCTCTCCTTGATGGGGCCTGGGGTAGAGGCTGACAGGTTTCTTGACTTTGCCTGTTTCCCCTGACATGCCGCACTCGTTCCTGCTAGGACAGTGAGGAGGGCAGCTGGGCTCAGGTAAGCGTCCTTTCCCTCATCTAGAACCACTTCTCTGAAACTCAGCACAGTGTTCTTCCAATAGGTTCTCTCTCCAGCAGGATTCTCTGAGCCCCAATGTGTTTCTGTTCCTCTTCACATTAGGAGCCCTGGACACAGGTTCTCTCCTCCTGCTGAAATCTCTCTCCCCCCACCCCCTGCCCAGTTTCCTTTAGTTACTTGTTCTGGTTTCTCAGGAGGGCAGGTGAGGAGCCCTGGAGGGTTGTGACCTGTGCATTACTGGCCCTTCTCCTCAATGTGACTCTCTTCTCAGGAATAATGAGACTTTGACTTGACTGATATGGATCTTCTTCCTCTCCCTGTCTGTCTCAGGGGTCACCCCTGATGAACTGAGCAAAGGCCTTTCATTCATTTATTTAGAGAACAAACATTTATTGAGCAAATACAGGTATTAGGCCTTTCTGGGCTGTCTGGAATCAGAAGTGAACAAAGCAAACCCTCGTGAAGCAGTAAACAAACCATATCAATAGGAATAAAAAAAGACAGTTTCAATAAATAAACAGATAAGGGGACAATGTTGGATAGTGATGAGAGCCATGAAGAATGAAGCAGGGAGCAACACTATTTATACTTACAGGGAAAACCCCATCCGGAGGTGACTGGACAGATCAGTTACAGCATATTCAATAAGCAGAGGAGATGGAGGATCTGAGACATAGAATGTTAAATGAAAAGTGCAAATCCTGAGAGATGAATGGAATTCAATAGCAAAACTCAAAGCCAAGCAAAATCAGTATTGTGTTGTTTAGAAAAATAGACATTGGTGATTGTAAAAACTGTAGAACTTTTTTTTTAAACCAAAGGAACAGTGGTCAGAAGACTGAGCATAGAGGTTACCTCTTTAGGGGGAGTAGGAAATGGGTTGGGGAGGAAGAGCATCAGGGTGGATGTGGCAGGGAATAATGCCCTGCTGCTTAACCTGGGTGATGCCCACAGATGCTAAGTTCATTTTTTTTTTTTTTTTGAGTTGGAGTCTCACTCTGTTACCCAGACTGGAGTGCAGTGGCCGTTCCCCGCCACTGCAGCCTCGACCCTCTGGGCTCCGGCGATCCTTCCGCCTCAGCCTTCCGAGTAGCTGGAATTACAGGCACACACTACCACGCCCAGCTGATTTTTTGATTTATTGTAGAGATGAGGTCTCGCTGCCCAGGCGGGTCTCGAACCTGCAGGCTCACGCAATCCACTCACCTCAGCCGCTAAGTTCATTTTTATGCATAATAGTACACATGTTGCATATAGTTTTGTATGTATCAACTATTACACTCTAAAAGATAACCAAATAGTCCTTTTCAGTCTAAAAACATCAAGTAGGGTAAGGAAAGAGTGATGGAGTGTTGCTGTGAAGGTTAAAGCTTTTTGAGTCAGGAGTCTTACTCTGTTCCCCAGACTGGAGTGCAGTGGCACTGTCATAGCTCATTGCCGCCTCAAACTCCTGGGTTCAAGCAATCCTCCTGCCTCAGCCTCCCCAGTTGCTGGGACTACCAGCATGTGCCACCACACCCAGCTAATATTTTGTAGAGATGAGGTATTGCTAACTTGCCTAGGCTGGTCTTGAACTCCTGGGTCCCAAGCACTTGGCCTCCCAAAGTGCTGGGATTACAGGCATGAACCGCCCACCCAGCCGTAAAGGCTCAAGCTTTCTAAAGATGGGTGGTTTCATGTCAGGAGGCCACTTCACATGACATAGACCTCGCAGAAAAGGGTGGCATGGTACATGGGAAAGCAACAAAGGACCCAGAGAATTTTGGAGTAGAGGACCAGGCCTTAAGAACCAAGTACTGACTATTTGGGCATAGGGTACCCGCCCTTTATTTTGTCTGTCTTCAGCCAACATTTAACCTCCTTGTAGACTGTATGAGGTCAGCTATTTCTCAGAGTAGACAGGCTTCCTTTGCCATGCTGCAGGTCCTTTGTGACCCAGCTTGTCCCCTGGGTTCAGCGGGCTGGAGGTTCACTGAGAGTCAGGAAGGCAAGTCTACCATGCAGGACCGCAAGTGCACTCCAGAGTCAACAGGAAGGATTTCATATCATTGCTGCCTGGATAGCTGCTTCTGTTCATTAGTATAGATAATTGATACATGAGTGGAACTGTATCATTTCAAGATCTTAAGAAGCTCCATTTAAAATCTCCACCCCCCCCACTACCCTTAATGGAGGGGCTTGAAATGGACTTGAACTGCCCTTCCTCTCTCAGGGGTAGAGGATGGATTCATGTGCCTCCCAATCAGAGATGCCAGCTACAGCCTGCCGGGTCTGCCTTTCTCCCCATAGCCTCCTCTGTCTTGTTCCCCCAGACCCTGGCCTATGGGGACATGAACCATGAGTGGATTGGGAACGAATGGCTGCCTAGCCTGGGGCTTCCCCAGTACCGCAGCTATTTCATGGAGTGCCTAGTAGACGCCCGCATGTTGGATCACCTCACCAAGAAGGACCTGCGGGTTCACTTGAAGATGGTAGACAGCTTCCACCGGTGAGTGAGTCTGAGCCCAGGGCCACCTTCCTGATGTAGGTCTCCCTTAGTGATAGGGGTCTGTCCCCATGAATGGAGGGGCCTCTATCTCTTTCCATGGCCTGCTCTTGGTGGTAATAGGTCTTGCTGTTGGGAAAGTCTCTCCTGCTGAACCCTTGTCTCATCCTGCAGTTTGAGGACTTGATCCTCTTACCTCTAATCCTTAAGACACAAAAAGTCATTTATCTTTAGCTTCACCTTCTTTGAGATTTTCCCCTAGGTCTGAATTTTATTGCTTGTCTTTGGGCTTGCTGAGCTCTCTATGTTTACCCCAAGAAGACTCAAACTGACCCCGGAGTTTAATTTAGGTGTCTCGTTCCTTCCAAGTTGAGGGGAAAGGTCTTTCTGAGTGTTTGCCCTGCCAACATCCCAGACCAGAGTCTCTTAGCTTTGGACTCACATCCTTTTTTACAGGATGTCATCCCATCCTCTCCTCCTTTTTTGCTGGAAAGATCTTCTGTTCAAAAGTGTCTGTAGCAGAGGTTCCAAACTGGCAGCCCGTGGGCAGAATTTGGCCCTCAGATGTGTTTTGCTTGTCCCACACGTATTTTAAAAATTATAAGTTTAGTTGCCAGTATTTAAACAGCAGACAATTTTATATAAAACTCTGGATTTCTGACTTCTCTTGAAAAATGGAAAGCTCTGTCAACCCATTCTAGCATGGAAACAGGCAGCTAGATCTGGAGAGTGGTGCTCTCTTAGGAAGGGCAGGCCTGCTGCTGGGACTCCTACCTCCCTCCAGCCTGCTTCCCTCACTGGTCCCAGCAGGCATTTGTGTTGAAGAACACAGGGAGTGGGCATGGTCCCAGGAGTTGACAGTTTTTAGGAAGTCTTTTTTGTTTCTTTTTTGCTTCCTGCTCCACAACTTTAAGGAAGTCCTTCTTAACATCCGTCTTTGAGCCAGGTCTTTTGCCTTGAGTGGGTAATGAGACAAGGGGTGGGGCTGGGGGTGTGGCTCTTTGAGGTTTCCTCAGGACTCTGTGTATGTCCTGTGGTCTTTCATAAATCATAGAAGGCTAAACCTGGAAGGGATCCAGTTAGCCTCCCCATTTTAGGGCTGAGGAAGTTGAGGCATAGGAAGGAGCAGTAGCCCAGGGTCACTCGGGTAGCAGAGTACAGGTAGAACCTAAGTCTGCTGACTCAAGTCCAGTGCTCTTGTCACCACATTACAGAGCCTCCTGACCTGGAACCCTTGGCCTTCCTGACCCCAACATGAGGGCCAACTTGCATATGAAGGCTGTGTCCTCCCCTCTGGATCCCCGCCCCCAGTCAAGCAGGGCTGAAAGGGAGTCTGCCAGGGAGGCTGCCAGGCCCAGCTGCACCTGTCCTTGACTCAGTGATGGATAGGGCTGGGGAGAGAAGAGCTATTCCCCCACCAAGCCAGGGTGTGCCTGGGCTGCTAGAGGATCTGTCAGCTGGGCCCACCCCAGACTATGGAAATCCTCCCTACTACCCCTCTGCCCAGCCCCAGGAGAGAATCCTGGCCTACGCATGTTCTAGAATCTTGAGTACTTCAGAGTGTCTAAAGCATTTTCATATGCTTTTCCTCAACTATATATATACCTGCTTTATTCCACTTAACATTTCACAAGCATGTTCTTATGTCTTTAAGATTCTTTTAAATAATGATTTTTATGACAAGGGATGTTTAAAACCCCTTATTTTACAGAGAGTGAACACAAGTCCAATAGAGGTCAAGTTCCATAAGACCACTCTCCTGGGTGGTTATAGAATGGAGCGCAAACCCTTGTCTCTTGACACCCAGTTCAGAGCTCTTTTCCTTAGGACATAGTGCTCTATTGAGCAGGTCTCCTGAGGAGCTTCTGCTTTTATAGAACAAGCAGGTACAATAATCAGAAACGCTGCCTTAATAATGGTGTCATTACCGAGTGCCTGTTTACATTCCAGGGGCTGGGCGAAGCCCTTGATTTATTCTCATGCACAAGAGAGATGTGACCCCATTTTACATATGCGAAGAAGGGCAGAGCTGGTATTCAAACCCAGATTGACCTAACCTTAAGGGCTTTATATTTATGTGATGCTATGCGGCAGCCTTGAAAGCCATAGGACCGAAAATTATAGTGAGTTTGAAATGAGACAGAAGGCACTTCCAGTTGTGAGTTGTGTGTGCTCGTGCTTCCTCACAGGGGACCAAGGCTTAAACCAGCGGCTTGAGCAACACATGGCTTGAGCCAGAAAAGGGTTCCTAGAAGTGGTGTTTGTGAGTTATGAGGGGGAGACTGTTCCAGGCAGAAGGCCCCCCTGGGTAGAACTGAAGGGAGAGGAGGAAGCAGTCTGCACAATTTAATCTCACAGGCAGTAGTCTCAGTAATATCAAAAGCAGTTAGAGTGGGGAGGGGCCTTCTCTTCTGTTTCTCCATCGATGGAAAAACCCAGAGAGGCGAATGACAAATAGTGTTCACATTCAGGAAGAACCCCACAGTTTTTCCAAGGTAGAATGAACTACCCTGAGAGGTAATGAGTTCCCTGTCACTAGAGGTGCTCAGGTACAGGTTTAGTGACTATTCTGAAGGATGCTATTGGGGTGACTCCTGTATTAGGCAGGAGCTTAGACCAATGGCCTCTGGGGTCCCTTCTAACCCATGGAATCTGGTTCTCAACCTGGCTTAATTATTATTTATTGAGGGCTTACTATGCATCTGGCACTTTTAGTACTTTAAGTACTTTTAGTAATATATGTAAATTATTTTATTTAATTCACAAGCATTTATAAACTCCCCACTATGTGCTAAGGGTTTAATATCAGGGAACACAACAAAGTTCCCTGCCCTCGCGGAGCTTATGTTCTAACTGGAAGAGATAGTAAAGGAACAATAAATATATGGTATGTTGATAGACGCATGCTTGGGAGAAAGTGCATCAGGATAAGGGGGGATTGGGAGTATAGGCCAGGGATGGTGACAGTGATGTCGCAGTATCAAATATGATGAACAAGATGACTAATGAATTGACCTGAGGTGACATTTGAGCAAACATTTAAGATCTAAGACAAAGGAGCAAGCTATGCAGCAGACTAGGTGAAGGGTGTTTCAGGCAGAGGGAGCAGCCTGTGCAAAGGCCCCGAAGCCTGCAGGCCCAGCAAGCCGGTGTCAATGCGGCTGCAGCAGAGAGGGCAAGTGGGAGAGTGGCTGGAGGAGGGCGGCAGGTAAGAGGGCAGATCACAGAGCACCCTGCAGATCTCTGAGTGAAATGGGAAGACAGAAGAGTATCTTGTTTTTGCTTCTTCTTTGGCTTGTGGGTGGTAGGGGTCTTTGTCATCCCAGTGCCTGGAGAGGGAGGGCATGCTGGTTTCATTCAGAGAACTTTTATTCTGTCCAGCTATCCCCAGGCCCACTTCCTGACTGAGGGAGGATATGGGGTAGGCAGCGACAGGGAAGTAGCCTCGGGTTGAACTGCGGGCAAGCCTGGAGGAGGAACATGAGGGGCTAGAGTGCTCTTTGTTCTGGAGGCACTAGGTCTGGCTATGGCTGTGGCTGTGGCTGGATGTGGGGTAGGTGGGGTGGGAACGCAGCCCCCCTGAGGCTCTGGCTCAGGGGGCTGTGTGCCTGCAGAACCAGTCTTCAGTATGGCATCATGTGTCTGAAGAGGCTGAATTATGACCGGAAGGAGCTGGAGAAGAGGCGGGAAGAGAGCCAGCACGAGATCAAGGGTGAGCTTGTCAGGCTCAGCATGGCCTCCTTGGAAAGGGTGTGGGAGCAGCCTGCCTCATGGGTCCCTGCCTTGGGCCAAGCGGAGTGGAAGCGTCTGGGTCTCAGGGAAACTCCAAACCTGAGAGGAAAGATGTACCCTCAACCTTAGAGAGCACCCAGTCTGATGGAGGAGACGTAGGCTATACTGAATTGGCTATCATGCCCTTCTCTCACCCCGACACACTGGATGGTAGCCAGCAACAGGACAGAACAGTTACTCCATGGGATGATGTAGGGACCGGTGTGCTCGTGTGGCTTGATGACCTAGGTGAGGTTGGATGGGAAAGAAAGGCAAGTCTTAGAGGGGACCTTGAGGGTGGAAAAAATAAGGAGGCCATTCCAGCCTGAGCCAGGGGGATGACTCAGGCAAGCTGTCTGGGGAGAAAGCTGGGAGCCTGTTGGCCTAACCCCGAGTCCTGCAGGCTGGCAGGGATGGATTGAACTGGGCCTGGTTCTCCAGGATCCCAGGTGCCAGGGAGCACAGAAAGCAGATGGGGAAAGTTGGGGGTGGGGTGGGGGTCAGAGAGCAGGTGGACTGGGGCTCTGGGCCTACAGAGCCCTTGGCCATACCTACTGTCGTTTTTTGTCCCCTTTCTTTCCCCGCCCTTCAGATGTGCTGGTCTGGACCAATGACCAGGTGGTTCATTGGGTCCAGTCTATTGGGCTCCGGGACTACGCAGGAAACCTGCACGAGAGTGGTGTGCATGGTGCCTTGCTGGCCCTGGACGAGAACTTCGACCACAACACTCTGGCCCTGGTTCTCCAGATTCCCACGCAGAACACCCAGGTGGGTGGCCTTTTAATCAGTCAGTCTCAATACCCCCCTCACTTGTCCTCTTTTTTTCTCTCTCATACATACACACAGGCTTAGGTATTTGTGAGGGGCTTTTCCGGGGCCTAAAGAGGGGATCACAGTGACCTCAAGCATCCAAGTGGTCCTGGTACATAACCAAAGCCCCTTGGGAACACGTGGCCCTCACATACAGATCACACCAAGCACAGGCCTGAAATACAGTGTGCTCCTATGACTGCTGTGGTACTCCGTCTCCTTTCAACCCCATTTGGTAGCTGAGACTCTGTGTCTTCCTTTTCCTCAACCTGCTTCTCTGATCTGACTTTTCTTAGAGGAGGACTAGCCCCAGGGCCTGTAAGAACCAGAGAACTCCTTTGTCTATCATCAGAGAGATGTGCTCTTGGGCTCTCAGGCTTAAAAAAGCTAAATATACCAAATTACACAGCCCAGAGTCTCTCCAGGCCAGGACTTTGTCTCCCTGTCAACAGCTCAAGATTAAACATCTCCTGAAATTACATTTCATCATTTTTATGGAGCTGTCATCTAAGAATATATCTAAATTCTCTTGAACTTATTTATATTTTTGGCCTTTCTGACTTCCTGTAGGTAATAGATTTTAGAAGTACTACCTGTTGTATAAAGTACTTCCTGATTTTATTTGTCCTAAATATGTCCCTGTCAGGATCCCCCTGGGGAAGGAGCTGCCTCGTCCTTCCAGGTTTGGTAAGGATGTTTGTATTTGACTAATGCTCACCTTTTGTGATTTCATCAACTCTGATTGTGTTGCTGCTGAGCCCAAGCCTTTGTCTCTCCAGACAGAGTGGTCTTAATTCTTTTAGCCTTTCCTCATATAGACTCGCCTATGGTTTTAGCTGCCCTTGTCTGGACTGTTTGCAGCTGTTAGATCTCTTTTGAAATTCAGCCACCAGAGCTACACAGGCTATTCCGGGAGCGGACACATTTTGGCTTGAGTGAGGGTAGGGCTGTGTTGTAATTCTGGGCAGTGCGTTGGCCTTTTGAGGGTGGCAACAACACCCTCAAAGGCTGGTGTGTCCCGTAGGCTCTCTGCAGTCACCCTTCTCCCAAGAAGTCCAAACGGATAGCACAGAGCCCCTCATCCTCTAAAAGGAGCTTGGTTTTCTCCCCCAAGTGTAGTTCTCTTCTCTTGCCCACCTTGAACCTGCCATTCTCCTGCCCACTCACACGGCTTCATGAGATGCTTGTGAGGTGTACACCTGTCACCATCACCTTTCACTACCCAGAGGAGCAGTGTCAACTGGATGTTGGAAAATGTACTAGGCTTCTCCTTTCAAATCATTTATAAAAATGTTACGTTCTCAATCCTGACAAAGACTGTCCTTATGGAACTCTGTGGTTCATGTTTTCTACCTAGAGGTGGACTTTTCTCATTCTTTGACTTCCTGTCGCTAAATGCATTCAGTTTTGTGGGATAGCAGTAACTCTGTAAATAGTCGCAGGGACACCTCTCTATTGCTTTCTAACCTTTCCTCAGTTCCTGACCTAGTTATTTAGCTTACCTACTGGGAAATGTAGTACCTGACCCAATATGGAATCCCTCATTGCAAATGGTTAAAAACATCTGGAGATTGTTTGTTTTGTTTTGTTTGTTTTTTAAGTTTTCAAACAAAGTTTATTAGAGAAAGAAGAGAGAAGAAGAAAGGGAGTCATGCCAGAGCTGGTGGCATGGGCGAGAGAAACTGCTGGGGACAGTTTTGACAATGCTCCTCTTTCTGACATTTCCCAAAACTCCTAGTAATTTAATCTCCTGGGAGGCCTAGACAAAGCCTCTATGAACCATGCCACCCAAGGGCCACCAATATCCATAACTGAGCAGTCTTCCTAGTTTAAGTTTTTGATGTAGAATTATCAGATATATTTATCTAACACAAATAAGTTAAGTTCTGATTATCCATGGTCTACATGCTTACTTACCCCTCTAGAAAGATAGTCTGGATTTTCACCTGATAGATAAAATGTTGTGTTGTTTTTTCTAGTAGGTGAAGCCTGTCCATCCATGTGTTCTGTGATCCTACTTAATTTTAAAAAATTATTTTTTTCTCATTTGCTCCATATGAAATAATCCTAAGTTTTGTTGAAGGAGCAGCATCGGGAAGGTGTGTGAAGGCCTCTACTGGGCTAAATGCACTGAACCTCCCCCTTCCCCAATCTCTGCCCTTGGACTCTAACAAACAGGTGAAAGGTGGCATACAGGTCATTAACTCTAGTCTCTTCCACCTTTCTTTCTCTTGCTTTATGGACTCCAGGCACGCCAAGTGATGGAGAGAGAGTTCAATAATCTGTTGGCCTTGGGCACAGATCGGAAGCTGGATGATGTGAGTACCTGGCTGTGAATTAGGGGCCTTGAGGATTTTGTCATCATTAGTTTGTTGGGTTGAAGTTCATGACTTCTGCTTTCCCTGGGCTGATCATTGGAGGGCTGGCCTAAGGGAGGAGAGCCAGAGGGGATGGGATGATGTCAGAGGGCTGGGGAGGCAGCAATTGTCTTTGAGTAGTGATAGGCTGTGGAGAAGTCTCAGTGCACCTTCTTCTTGTTCAAAAGCTGAAGGCCCCTATGTGTTATATTTCTAGCATCCAACTCTATGCCTGGCCCTCCTAGCCATGCAAGATCAAAGGTCTCCCCCCAAGGCCATATCTTGGGGATCATACATTTCCCTTGATCTCTCAGACCCTATGTCTTCAGTGCTATTAGGTCAGCACACCTCCAGGAGTTCGGTAAGATTTTAGCTCATCCTACAGGAGTGTGATTGTTTGAAGGTGGATGCCCAGCTGAGGCTGTTAAATGCCAGGTTTGTTCGGTCATTCTTCAGCACAGTCTGACAGCTGAACACATGGCTTAGGACTTTATCATCCTGGCTTTCTCTCTAGTCTCACTCTTGGGTCTACCTTCACACCAAGTTAACGTTCCCCTCTCTCAGCTGTCCTGATCACAGAAGGAACAGCCCCATGCACTTGATTTCATCAGGCCTTCCCCTTGAGTTTGGAAAAGACCCTGACCTCCTTAGCTACATGTTTCCCTTAGAGATGCTGACTTAAGTTCACCTGTTTCGTGAGGACACAGTGCCTCCTCAGCTTCTGCCTCCTCCCTTTTCACTTTCCAGTCACCAACCTTGCCTATCCTTGCCTGTCAGGTCTTCCTTAGTTGATTGGCTCCAAGCTAGTGAAAAAACTGCCCAGAGCTTGTTTATTTTTAGCTTGTCCATCATTGTTTCTTATTTGGGTTTAACAGGGCTAAAAACCCACCTTTGTTGAATGATTGCTCTGCCTCAGTAGACAGGGTACTCTCAGGAATACACAGAATTTGTGGAGATATGTTTTCTTCATAGAGGTACTTTGAAGTTTGGAGAAAAAAAAAAAATATATATATATATGAGGGGGACCCCCAAAAAGCCCCAGAATTATTTTTTGGAGGGTGGGCCCCTTGGAGTACAGGACTCCCCACTAGGTAAATGTTATAGAAACCCATTGGAATCAGTGTACCAGCTAGCACTGTTGTGAGAGACTGCATTTGGCTTCAGTTAATTTTTTGTCTGGAGAGTTAATGCATTTGCCCATGAGTGATTTTCGAGCACATTTGCCTACACCATGCTGAGTGTTCAGCAGTTTTTGACCAAAAAAGCATGATCCCTATGCTCCACCCTCCCTGTTCATTCGATCTCTATCTCATTCCAAGTGACTTGTTTTTGTTTCCCTGGATGAAAAAGTTCTCAAAGGGAAAAGTTTTGCCAGTGTGGAAGAGGTGAAACAAAAAAAGGCAAAAGGACTAAAAGACATCAAAACTGACAAGTTATAAAACTTCTGAGCAGTGGGAAAAGCATCTCAATAGGTGTATTGCATCAAATGGAGAGTACCTTGAAGGTGACTAAAGTTTAAACATGTAAGAATAAATACATAATTTTTAATAAATAAATTCTGGGTTTTTTTGGTCCCCCCATATATACTATATATTTATTTCCAGTCAAGAAGATAAACTTCCAGAACCCTGCAGCTGTCCCACATTGAGAGATCTTAATATTCCCAATGCCCCTGTGATATTGACCTTCCCACTCATTCCCTGCACATCTGGAATCTCAGCTTTCTTTGTTTCTGTCTGGAAAAATGACTCATATATATGTATGTGTGTGTGTGTGTTTGTATATATATGTATATGTGCATTTATGTGTGTGTGTATGTATGTATGTATTAGTATGGTGCTTTCTATTTTAGAAAGCTATGGAATCCTTCAATCCTTACAAAAATATTCTTTGAATGCCTGCTCAGTGTAGGCATGGTGGTATAATGGTGACAGATGTGTCCCTTTATGATGTCTCACACATACAAGACAGGTTATTTTCCCTATCTTACAGATGAGGAAGTTTTAACTCAAAGAGTTAAATTACCTGCTGTGGCAGAGCAGGACTAGAGCAGATGTGTATCTGATTCCTGAGCTCTTCCGCCATATTCCACTGTCTTCTGGAAGCTTGTGGGGCTGTCTGGCCTCTCAGGTTCCAGATATTAGGGTGGAGTTCTTGAGTAGGTGATGTCATAGGGCCATGCATTGGGGTTTCTGGGATGCAGCTAGGTGTGGGTTAGAGAGGACTGGTTCCTACAGGAAGCCTAAAGTAGAAGCCAGGTCCTGGGAATAAGATAAAATTTGATGGGGGGAGGTCTGTGATCCAAGGAGATCATCCAGGCTGAGGGAGATAGAGCGGTCTCCTTGTCTAGCCACCTAGCACATCAGCAGCAACCTTGAGCTGTCTCTTGCAACTATTCACTTTCCCAGTTGTGGTTCTCAATTCGTCTTCTCAAGTTTCCAGGCTCTGAAGAGCTGCATCCACTTCTCCCTCTACATGGAGATGAGGCCTCAAGGGAAATGAGGAAGAAAACAGGAAGGAAGGACAGCTATTAGGGACAGGGGAGGAACTCAGAAATAAGTACTTAGGATTGGCTAAAGGTGGAAATGGAGAAAGTGGGAGAGAGAGAAAAAGGAGAGAGAGGAGAGAAGGCTCTGGGCTAGATTAAGAGCAGGATCATGGGGAGGACAGCAGTGATGAGGAAAGTTCCTGAAAAACTCAGGAATGGGATGCCTGCATAAGGAGCCAGCTGCCACCTATTCGTTTAACAAATATTTATTAAGTGCCTACAGTGTTCCCAGGCACTGTTCAGGGGCTGCGGATACATTAGAACAAAAAAAAAGATCATGTTTCCTGCCCCATAGAACTATAGGGAGAGGGGTGGGGGAAGGAGGAGGGGGACAGAGAGAATGAGGAAAGAGGGAGAAAGGGAAAAAAGATGAAGGTGGGAAGGGAGAAAGGTGGGGGAGGAAGAAGAACATGAAGGAGGGGGAGGAGAAAGAGATACCGTTGTTCTGAAAAAGGCATCGTTAGGCAATTTCATTTTGTCATCATGCAAACATCATAGAGTATGCTTCCACAAACCTAGATGGTCTAGCCTACTACACACCTTAGCTGTATGGTATAGTCTATTGCTCCTAGGCTACAAACCTGTACATCATCTTCTATACTGAATACTATAGACATTTGTGACACAATGGTATTTGTATATTTAAACACAGAAAAGGGACATTAAAATATGGCATTATAATCTTATGGGATCACCACTGTATACGTGATCCATCATTGACAGAGACATTGTTATGTGGTGCATGACTGTATTAATTATCTCATAAATAGATGTAAAAATGCTACTAGGATGAGTGGCCGAGAAGTACACAGAGTTAAGAATTGATCAGACAGAGCACCTGGCCTACTCAGGGTACAAACAACAAACTCTAAGGGGTTGGAACTGGAAGGGGTTGTTGAGGCATGAACAGGTGGGTAAATGACCCTTGCTCCTGCTGGTCGCACTATGCCTGTGCATCAGCTCTGAGAAGTAGGGCTGGAGGGAGATTGGGCATGGGTACTGAGCAAGTGAATGTGAGCTCTGAAGGTGAGGAGAGAGGCCTGTGCGGAGAGTCATTCTATAAGACTGTGGCCCTGGGTACCTTGTGGTAGGTATGATTATTTTGGAGATTTGGCTGGCATAGGTGAGGGGCACATGGCAGGGGGCTGCCTGCCATGTCCTTGGAGGAGCCTGCCTCTGCTTGGTTATGTACTCTACCCATCACTGTTGCAGGGTACTCTCATCCAATTGAATTAGGGATAGGTAGCCTGAGAAATAGATGGAAATAGATTTATTCAGAAAACTGAAGCTCAGAGAGGTTGCCAGGGTCACATAGCCAATAAAATGGCAGAGCCAGGATTGGAAGCCAGATGTTCTGACTCCTGATGCAGTGTTCTTCTAGCATACCCAGGCTACAGCCATATGGAAGCTCCAGAAGGACAGGAGAGTTTGTATGGGAGCTGGCTGTAACTTCCCATGGTGAGACTGAGAAGAGGAACACCTTGAAAGGCCAGTGGGCATCCCAGACCTAGTTTGAGATTGGGATGGGCAAGGAGACAGAATTCAACTACAGAATAACAGATCCAGCCAGATACCCCCACCCCTCACGCCTCCCCACCCGGTTGCCCATAGGGAAATTTCAGGGTGGCAAGGTTTCCTGCTTCCTTCTACAGATGGAAACATTGAGGGCTGGAAAGGGGACGTTACCTTGCTCCCCTTTGTCGCAGGGATGGGAGTAGTACCCCTAGAACCGGCTACGACTGCCCTCCCCCAGGCAGAGTGTGAGGGTGGCAATTTCAACGTGCCCCTCGGGCCTCTGCGTGTCCCCACGGTGCAGGGAGACGACAAGGTGTTCCGCCGGGCGCCCTCCTGGAGGAAGCGCTTCCGGCCGCGGGACCACCACAGCAGCGGCATGCTCAGCGCCTCCGCGGAGACCCTCCCGGCAGGCTTCCGCGTGTCCACCCTGGGGCCCCTGCAGCCCCCTCCGCCCCCGCCAAAGAAGATCATGCCGGAAGGTGAGTGACAGGCTGGCTGGGCGTGGCCAAGGCTCACCCTGCGTGCGCGAGCTCCTGTCCTGGCCGCTGGGTGGAGAGGGGCAGGCGGAGGCTGG